CCATATGTGTATATTTTCCACGGCTGCTCCTAACGGAAGCCCGTGTCTTTCCCTTGGGCTAAGTCACCCACTATCTCATATGTAGTACAGCCTTCGGGCTAGTCCATATGTATTCCCCACATAACTCCTTGAAGTAAGTGGCTTCCGCAGCGTCCTCCTTCCTAACTGAAGGGCACGCTTTCCCAGTGTTATCCAATAATCTCACTGTATGGGTTATTACGGAACAACAGTGACAGATACACTCTGTGTGTAGCCTCCTCCTATCGTCCTTCTAGGCAAGAAGGTGTAGAGGCTTGCATGGGGCGCTGGATGGGGTGCAGCAGCTGTGGCGCTTTGGTAGGGATTCCTATTGGTCAGTCTGACCTACGTTGTAGTGACTGACCGATAGGGAACGTCTCGGTTACATATGGTAACCCTCGTTCCCTGAGGGAGGGAACGGAGACGTAGGTCCCGTCGCCACATCTGCTGCCGCCCGCTGGGGCGGCCAGCTTTTTCAGGTTTGGCTCCTCAGCAAAAAACTAGCGTGCAATCATAACAGCTGCTGTTAAATACCCGCGCTGACGAGGACGCGCAGCTGATGCAAATGATTGCATGCCAATGTGCATTGGCTTGTTTTAGTTTCACTCGAAGTAGATTGGCCTCTCTAGCGAGATTCCTATTGGTCAGTCTGACCTACGTCTCCGTTCCCTCCCTCAGGGAACGAGGGTTACCATATGTAACCGAGACGTTAACTATGACATTAATGCGATTAATCGCGAATAAATATTTTACTTGTTTGACAGCACTAATATATATATATATATATATATATATATATATATATATATATATATATATATATATATATATATATATCCTATATATCTTTCTTTATAAAAAGTATATATTTTATCATACATATTTCAAAGATAAGGATTCATTAGTTTGAATATTGGAACAAACACTATAATAACATCTTAGTTGATAATTCAATATACCTACTTTATTTTTGACAAAACATCCCATAGGCTATTATATATTTAACATGTGGAAGTAGTCTTTTATTTACAGTAAAAACTAATCAACAAAATCTTGTCTAAACATTCATATTTAGTCTGTAACATATCGTGTGTATGATATATTAGTAATGTTAATTTGCAGTTTGTTGCTTATACAAAGACATTTTATTTCAACATATTTCAGTCTATTTTTACTCATCTCAGTAGGCTATATCAATATAGTTTGGTCAAAGCTAAACTAGCAGATGTGTTCATGTAAAAATAACATGTTTACTAATGTAGGTGCGAGATTCATATTTAAACAGTCTTTTGTGGTTTACAGACACTATTCCATATCGCGATTAGAACAAAGCACTTAAGAATAAATAACTTACTTTCACATCAGCTTGATTCGTTGCTCCTCGAAATGAAACTACCAGCACTTCTGAGGTAAGTTTTTAGATAGTATTATTCCTCACAGCTTAGCAAGACGACGTAAAGTAAATGATTCTTATTAAACTTGATGTGTTTTATCCAGCTGTTGTGGGCGTTGACACGTATGCGTGGCTTGCCTCAGATTATTTGCGTTTGAATAGCGCGCGCTCTCAGTGGGCGTGGTCACATTAACACTGAATTAGCTATAATGAGCTGAAAAGAAAACGACTGACATCTCTCTCTTTTCGTACAGATTACATAAACTGAGAATATTTGTTTTTTATAAAAATTACTTCATTTAAAAGAAGAGAATTCAAGCTTCATGCCTGTGTCCCTGTATTTCTGCGTGACTGAGTATTCGCTGAGTTACAGTTCATTTTCGGACGCGTTTCAGAATGGATTTCACTGACAGAGAGAACGCAGAACTCGCATCATGTTTTTTTTCTTTATTTGGCGAAAAGCACAACACTTTTTATTGTGAGTAACCAGAAAAAAAAATAGACACTTAACAGGATCTAATGATGTACAACACTTATATGTAAGATCAAAATCAACAGAGTATTTTGAGTCTCTTTTGCACTGATAAGAAAAAAAGTGAGCCTGTCGCGCCGGCGTGATAGCCGACCCCAGAGGGTTAAACAGTTCACACTTCAACCCCCCAATGTTCAAAACAAAACTACAGAGGGAGACAACCAATTAATCCCCCCACAACCCCCCTCCACCCCACCCCACCCCCAACAAAGCGCCTCCCCCTTTGGTGAGCACCGGCACTTTATTTTTTCAACTTCAAGCACTGCCCCTATTGTGAAACTTGGTGTTGAAATTAAGACAATTGTAAGACTGCCGAAAAATGCAACTGCTTAGATGCTAATAGGTTATGCAGAAGTTTTATAGTATTCAGTCAGATTAAATAGAGGCAATCAAAGTCAAGATTGAAATCATACATGTTTCTCTGTGGCCCCATCAGATTGAACTGCTTTGAAGGGTCAATGCATTCATTACTGAGACGTCAAACTCTGGACTGGCATAGTGCAAAGCATTATGAAAGTGTTTTTAACACTGATTTGTAGAGGCTTTTATGGTGTGGTCTTTGGAAAACATACTATACATGCATACTATCAATGCAGTAAGTGAAGTATGTAGCTCATACTGCTTTTATGCAAATAAAGGTTGTATAATGGATATGTGACGAAATATTTACGATTGGCGGAGATCAAATGTAATATTTGACAATTAAATATTTAAAAACCCATTATGGTCAAACGCTAATATGAATATTAGAGTGGAACATGTCCCATAGTGGTTACGGTCCCATACATAATGATGCATGAGTTTTCATAAGCATTTACTCTACATATTAAACCCATCTCTCAAAGTCCCAACAGTTAAAATACAATAGTGAGGTTGGGAAACTGAAGCATTTTAAAAACATTTTCATAAATCATATTTTCAGATATAATGTTTTTGTAATGTTTGACAAATGTTGATATTAAAAGTTTACAGTTTGTATCTAAATCTTTGTTGTTTTTCATAGTGTGATTTTTGAGGAATTGTATTGAATCCAATTAGGGTCAATTTGACCCGGTCCATAAGGGGTGTACACAGAAATCGAACAGAACACAAGGGTTAAATACCCAGATGATACACTTAATTAACAGAAAAAATTAAGTGTGGAATGTTGAACAGCACTCAACTGTCGCAGCTTTAATTACGTAGTGGTGGGCAATCAGATTCCAATGCTGAATGACAAAATAGCCATATCAAATTCATACACTGCGTGATTGAGTACATGAGTGGCTTTCACACCAGAGAAAACTTTTCTTAGTTCCGAGAACTAATGGCGAAAGTACCTGCTTTTTGGCGTGTTTGCACAGCAGGAACTGGGAATGATTTTAGTTCTAGGAACTCTTTTTGGGGAATACTACTTCATAGTAGGGTCTAACCAGCACAATAGGAACTACCCAGTGACGTAAATGTATGTTGATTGGACGAACGCACATGAAACACCAGCACCCAATATTAAAAAAAAAAAAGCAGTGTACACACACACAGTTTATAGCCTATATATTTACTCCACGAACTAACTCTACTAACATGGAAAACAGTGATAGACGGACCTCTCTACTTTTATGCTAAGGAGAAAATCCAACACGACTTTGAGGTAACCAGGCCAAATATAATTATGTATTTCTGCTTAGCTAGCGACATTGAGCATCAACCACAAAGCAAACACTAATATTATTTTCATATACTGCTTACTTTATTTCTATAACAGTTCTATCTAATAACATATTAGACAAGATTGTTAAACAGATCTGAAACGAGTGAAGGGAGCGCTGTGTGTTCAGGCTTTGGCATTCTCAGCGTTGTCAAAATAAATGTCCGCCATGCCGTCAAAATAAAAGTCACAACAACAAGTGTGGCTTACGTCATGTCAGAGTTCCTACTGGTGGTGTGAATACACCCAGGAAAATGGCCCAATGGGAACATTTATTTATTGAGGAACCGCCTTAGTAAGTTCCTATAACTACCCAGTGTTAAAACCCCCATAGTGCATACTGTAAGTACATAGTGTATAAATGTATGGTGTAAAGTGAGTCATTTGGAACACTACTTTTGTCTTACTGTGTCTGGTTTTCATTTCCTGTGTTTAGTTCATGTTTTACCTTGTTTACTGACTGTTAAATTTTACTTGACTAAATCTATTGTAGATTTAGTCGACTAAAATCGTACACTGATGTTACGTTGTGTTGCAATCTCCATGCCGCTAGAAGCTGTCCACACTGGACGCAACATCTTGAAGTACGTCAGAAATATAGAACAGGGTTTCCGTTTACTGTCTGGAATTTGTCTGTATTTGTAAATACACTGCAATCAATATAAAGAAAAATATGTCAAAAATATTTGAAAAAATATTGTGAGTGCTATGTTTTTTTTGTACATGACGTGGGAAAAAAACAAGATATTGTGGTCATGAATTAGGAACTCCTTTACTCGACTCGGGAGCTAATTTTTAATTTGTGGCCGCATTGTTAGCTTAGTAACATGCTAATGGCAAACTTTATGGAAATCAATTGTAAGTCAAGTCTCTGATGCACTTCACGTGAAGAGAACTAATTGTATTATGCTAATTGAATCATGCTAATTGAATTGAAGTTTCTGCATATGTACAGCATTATAATTGGTTACTAAACAAGTATGATGCTCCATTGCAGCTTCCTTAGTAGACAATGTTTATTATAGGTAGAAGACAGCAAGAAGCTCACTAGGAACAGAGCCACATTAAATATTGTGTCATAAACATGATCTTAGTGGGAGACATGGCTTGGCGGGTGGTCCACATATTCTGAAAAATTGTACACTTGTTTGCAGATGACCCATATTCAATTCTGGCTCTGTTCATTTGCCGAACCCACCTCCTTCTCTCTATGATTTCCAGCCATTTCTTCACTTTTATAAAACTAAAAGCAAAGAAATATTCCTGGTTTTCTTTTAAGCAGTCTTATTGGCTTTTATTGCATGTATAATTATTTTCAGTGGCTTATAACTAACCCTACAGCCCATAACATTAATAAGTTGTTGTTCTACCTTTGAGTACCACCTCCAGTTCATCTCTGAGGATGTCAAAGGTACTGTAACGTGAACTGGTCTCAGGTATGATGTTCTTCTTTAGCCAGCCACCACAGGCGTACTGATAGAAGTTGTCACAGGGGTTCACCGTTGGATCCATGTTCTCAATAAGACGGGATGCTACAATGCCAGAGAACATTATGCATGAACTTTATGATGATGACAAAATTGAATGACAATGGTCTTTAAAGGGTCATGAAACCCTATTTCATTCTTCCAGTTTAAAAAGAAAAGTTTGAACCAATGTCATGAAAAGTGAGGTGTATGCGTTAATTCAGAGTGGTGATTGGCTGCCGCTGGAGAGTACGCATCTATGTCATCAGTTTCTGCGTATTATCATGAGAATAAAATCTTTTAATCCAGTCACTGCGCTGTATTATGCATGAGATCGCATTACAGCAGATAGTTTAAATGTCACACAAGACTGGTTCGGCGCTGTTTGTTCACCTCTGCCTGTTCAGCTTTGCATTCGGACACGTTCAGTAAGTGTATCAGTAGTACAGATTTGATTGCATTTTCCCGGCAATGTGGTCAGAGCTGGAGTTTGACTCCCAACGCATGGAAAATAGGACTGTAACAATATTTAATATGTATATCAACAACATGTGGAGCGAGCATGAGAGTGATTTCTTTGTGGAATGCCGTGGTGAGTTTAACAACACTCGTAACACGAAGCACAGTTCATATCTGAAAAACGTGGTATTTGAAAAACGTGATCATGAAAGTGATGACACAATGAATTATTCTGATACAAATCAAAATTCTGATTTAGTGAGTTAGTGAATTAGGACACTGAGTGTGCCGTAAAGTGGCCCATAGAAAAAGCCGGTAATAAGGCAACTATGTATATAATATACACACACACACATATATATATACACTCACCGGCCACTTTATTAGGTACCCCATGCTAGTAACGGGTTGGACCCCCTTTTGCCTTCAGAACTGCCTCAATTCTTCGTGGCATAGATTCAACAAGGTGCTGGAAGCATTCCTCAGGGAGTTTGGTCCATATTGACATGATGGCATCACACAGTTGCCGCAGATTTGTCGGCTGCACATCCATGATGCGAATCTCCCGTTCCACCACATCCCAAAGATGCTCTATTGGGTTGAGATCTGGTGACTGTGGAGGCCATTTTAGTACAGTGAACTCATTGTCATGTTCAAGAAACCAATTTGAAATGATTAGAGCTTTGTGACATGGTGGAAGTAGCCATCAGAGGATGGGTACATGGTGGCCATAAAGGGATGGACATGGTCAGAAACAATGCTCAGGTAGGCCGTGGCATTTAAACGATGCCCAATTGGCACTAAGGGGCCTAAAGTGTGCCAGGAAAACATCCCCCACACCATTACACCACCACCACCAGCCTGCACAGTGGTAACAAGGCATGATGGTTCCATGTTCTCATTCTGTTTACGCCAAATTCTGACTCTAACATCTGAATGTCTCAACAGAAATCGAGACTCATCAGACCAGGCAACATTTTTCCAGTCTTCAACTGTTCAATTTTGGTGAGTTCTTGCAAATTGTAGCCTCTTTTTCCTATTTGTAGTGGAGATGAGTGGTACCCGGTGGAGTCTTCTGCTGTTGTAGCCCATCCGCCTCAAGGTTGTGCGTGTTGTGGCTTCACAAATGCTTTGCTGCATACCTCGGTTGTAACGAGTGGTTATTTCAGTCACTGTTGCCCTTCTATCAGCTCGAACCAGTCTGGCCATTCTCCTCTGACCTCTGGCATCAACAAGGCATTTCCGCCCACAGAACTGCCGCTCACTGGATGTTTTTTCTTTTTCGGACCATTCTCTGTAAACCCTAGAGATGGTTGTGCGTGAAAATCCCAGTAGATTAGCAGTTTCTGAAATACTCAGACCAGCCCTTCTGGCACCAACAATCATGCCACGTTCAAAGTCACTCAAATCAACTTTCTTCCCCATACTGATGCTCGGTTTGAACTGCAGGAGATTGTCTTGACCATGTCTACATGCCTAAATGCACTGAGTTGCCGCCATGTGATTGGCTGCTTAGAAATTAAGTGTTAACGAGCAGTTGGACAGGTGTACCTAATAAAGTGGCCGGTGAGTGTATATATACAGTATCTCACGAAAGTGAGTACACATCTCACATTCCAGCAAACATTTTAGTATATCTTCTCAAGGGACAATACTATAGAGATGAAACTTGGATATATTTTAGAGTAGTCAATGTGCTGCTTGTTTTCATTTTCATGTTTTTGTCTGCTTGACAGGACCATAGAATTTAGTGTATCTTGTATTAGAGCAGTTAAAATTTGTGCTTTGAGTAAAATTCTCTCATACTGACCACTGGATGTTCAACATGGCACCTCAGGGCAAAGAACTCAGGGCAAAGGATTTGAGAATTAGAATTGTTGCTCTCCACAAAGTTGACCTAGGCTATAAGGTCCCGGCTATGTGACTGTTCATGTCACTTCTACGCATCCAGAGACAGTTCATGTCACTTTTACACATCCAGAGACAGTTCACGTCACTTCTGCGGAATCAGAGACGGTTCATGTCACTTCTGCGGAATCAGAGACTGTTCATGTCACGTTTGCGGATTTAGAGACTGTTCACGTCCCGTCTGCCTGGCCTGAGATCATTCCTGAGCCAGAGCCAGTGGTTGTTCCTGAGCCGGAGCCAGTGTTTCTGAGACCCATTCTCGGGGCCTCTGGAACGTTATTGGACTACTTCGAGCGTCTGGCCAGAATCCTGGAGGTGCCTTTCGGACCTGTCATGCCCGCCATTGTTCCTGAGCCGGAGCCAGAGTCTGTTCCTGAGCCGGAGCCAGTGTATGTTCCTGAACCAGTGTTTGTTTCTGTGTTTGTGTCTGTTCCTGAGCCGGTGTCTGTTCCTGTTTCTGAGTCTGCTCCAGGGTCTCCAGACAAAATGGTCGCCGCTGAGCTGGTGTCGGTTCCTGTGCCTGAGCCGGTGTCTATTCCTGTGCCTGATCCGGTGTCTGAGCTTGTTCCTGAGCCGGTGTCGGTTCCTGAGCCGGCGTCTCCGCCGTGGCCGCCCGAGGGGTCGTCTCCGCCGTGGCCGCCCGAGGGGTCGTCTCTGCCCTGGCCGCCCGAGGGGTCGTCTCCGCCCTGGCTGCCCGATGGATTGCCTGTTCCGTCTTGGCCGCCCGATGGACTGCCAGCTTCGTCCTGGCCGCCCGATGGACTGCCTGTTTCGTCCTGGTCGCCCGATGGACTGTTTGCTTCGTCCTGGCCGCCAGATGGACTGTCTGCTTTGTCCTGGCCGCCCGATGGTCTGCCTGCTCCATCTTGGCCACCTTGCACAGCTTGGTCCACCCTGGTCCTTGCCAGGACTCCTGAGAAGCCTGAGGATCCCTGGCTTAACCCTCCCGTCCCTCCCTGGTCAAGTTTTGGACTTTTGTGGTTTATCTGTTTTTGTTTCATTCGACTTGTCTGTGGTGGTGTCTTGGATTGTGTCTGTTTTTGTTCCTGTGTGGTTTTATGTCTCTCTTTAGGAACGCCAGGTGGCGTCCCTTTAGAGGGGAGGTAATGTCATGGTTCTGTCACGACTATTCTGGTTATTCTTGGTTTAGTGACAGAGCCGTGACATTCCTGGTCCTGTGTTTATGTATGATCTTGTTTACTGTGAGCGCATGGCTGTCATGGGTTCTCTGTGTGCCATGTGCTCTTGTAGATATTCTAGCCCCTCCCACCTTGTTACCGGGTTATTTGTTCCACCTGCTTTCCCTCGTTACCCTCTTTGTTTGCCTTCCTATTTAGTCTCCCTGTGTTAGCTGTCCTGTGCTCGTTCGTTGTTAATGTTATGGGTGTTGAGTTGTGTGTAGTTCTGTGCCTGCCATATCATGTTCTTGGATTTAGTAATTAGTTCATGAGACCTGGATTTCCTTTGTTTGTTTGATTTATGTTTTACTTAATTAAACACTACTTCACCTCAGCACTTGAGTCCTCACACCATTCTCCGCAACCCACCTGTGACAATAAGAAGATTGGTAACACCCTGAAACTGAGTTATAGTACAGGTCAGGGTCATACTGAGGTTTTCCAAGACGGGTTCCACTTGGAACAGGCCTTGCAAGGGTCAATCAAAGAAGTTGAGTCCCCGTGCTGTGCGTCAGGTGCAGAAGCTGGCTTTAAAAAACAGACACATGAGTGCTGCCAGAATTGTTTTAGAGGTTGCAGAAGCGGAAGGTCAGCTTGTCAGTGCTCAGACCATACGCCGCACACTGAAACAAGTCGGTTTGCATGGCCGTCATCCCAGAAGGAAGCCTCTTCTGAAGCTGGCTCACAAGAAAGCCCGCAAACAGTTTGCTGAAAGCAGCCTGTCCAAGAGCATGAATTACTGGAACCATATCCTGTGGTCTGATGAGACTAAGATGAACTTGTTTGTCTCAGATGGTGTCCAGCATGTGTGGCGATGCCCTGGTGAGGAGTACCAAGAAAATTGTGTCTTGCCTACAGTCAAGCATGGTGGTGGTAGCATCATGGTCTGGGGCTGCATGAGTGCTGCTGGTCCTGGGGAGCTGCGCTTCATTGAGGGAAACATGGATTCCAACATGTACTGTGACATTCTGAAGTTGTAGCTGACATTGTAGTGCTTTTAAACGTAATGAAAATGTTATTAGACATTTTAAATGTTCTTCCTCATTTTTCATATAGACCTATATAGTTATATAAAATTATAATGCTGATATGTTGATATTTTGACCTATTAATACTAACACTTACTATTATATCTATAAAAAAACACCTTGCTACGTGTACTGTGCTAGAGTAACTGGGACTAGTCACAGCACTTATGCACTTATGCATATTTTTGCCCTATTGATGGTTTGGTTGCTTCTATTTCTTTTCTCATTTGTAAGTTACTTTGGATAAAAGCTAAATGATTAAATGTAAATGTATTTCAAGAATTAACAAAACATTTGATTTGTTCATGACAGTTGTTAGTAGTCTCTAATGATAAGATTTTTGTGAGTTTGTTGTCATAGGGTTATATATTTGTTTAAATACATCAAGGTGCCTCGAACTTTGTTTGTTTGTTTTCTCACCACTTACATTTAAATATTCTTTTGACTGTATAATGAGTGTGTTATAGGTCTGTGTTTTATTAGTTGTTGTCTCCCCTCTTCCCACCTTCTTTCCACACCTATTTTTTTTTTTGTCTTTTTCAAATCTGAGATGTGAACGAGCAGTGCTAAAACAGAGGGTTTCATGACACAGTAATAAATGTGCAAGAAAGGCTATTAGTCGACTATTTGACATTACAAGATCAATTCTTATTAGTATGTTGTAAAATATCTTTACCTGACTGTGTGCAGTCAGCGGTTATACAGACTCCATCTACAAAGAAAGAAAAGCACAAGGGGTCAGAGGTCAGGAGCAAGTTAACACCATTAATAATTTATTTAATAATAAATAAAACATCTATTTAAAAATCTTTCTCTGTGTTATGTTCAATTATATCTTCACAAAAAATTCTCTCTGTACTTTTATATCTGTCCATAGACCTACGGTATTATTTATGAGAATCTCTCACTGAACCAAGATCCATCTACAGGTTTCCACCCTCTGACCATATTCCATACAGCCCTGCCCTCAATACTGCCCTGGGAAAATAACTACAGAACCAATGTGGATGGACTAATATGCAATAATGTGTGCTTAAATAATGCACAGATAATCATGAGTTAATGTATGACTCATGAAGAACTAATCCATTCATTAATCATTACCAAATTAGTAGTTTTTCTGATGAATAGATACATTTGTTAATTACCACAATGGGTTGAAGCCATGTATTTCAACTTCCAGTGGTTTGCTTTAATTAATCATTAGCTAATGATTTGCAAAAATGTCATTTTGGTTTTGACATCCAAACTAAGCCATGGATTTCAATTTCCAGCTGATGAACTGGTGCATCCAGTGCCGTATGTCTGTTTAAAGTTTGAGGATTCAAAGGTGGGATACTGAGCATGCGACCGGGATACACTGATTACACTGGATGCTAGGGCTGGGTTTCGATTCAAATTTCAAGAATCGATTCGATTCCGATTCTCAAGATCTTGAATCGATTATCATTATTCTATTCGATCCGATCTTCGAGATTTAGATAAGAGTTTTTGAAAAAAGCTTTTTTTTCCAGCTGTTACCTGAATTACAGGACTGTAGTTATGCAACATTGATACTATGATTATAGACATTCAACTGCAAATTAATGGAGTATTGATGGTTGTAAAGAAGAACAATCCCCCTTCCAGAGTGTTGATACAACTGCTTTCACAAACTTGCACTGGTGTAGACGACAGAGGACGCAGAGGTATATCAGCAGCAGTAGACCGATTATTTAGACGCGAACCTGATGTATTATTAAAAATGACATTAAGAATTTTCCAAAAAGCTCCTACAGTTCAGATGCAAATGCACCTTTATTTTTTATTTAAATGATCAACATTTAGAACACATTTGTTCTAAGCCAGTGCAAATGTAAACAGATTGTTGGTTACTGGCTTCACAGTAAACAGACAACATTACACAGAATGTAAATAAAATTTGAACTTACAAAACCTTTAGAAAACACAAGTGTGTCACAGTTTTGTGTAAAACCTTCAAGTACTCCAGGTATAATGGTGTGTTCACACCGAACGCGAATTTAATTATTTGCGCGAGTAGATTACATACAAAGTCAATGCAAAGACGCGAATAGACGCATCATTCGCGCCGGGCGTTGCGAATGATGCGAATTGGGCAACGCGTTTGCCGCGAATGTCTTCCGCGCAAGTTGAAAAATTTGAACTCAAGCGAATGTTCAAGCGTCTAACTAGACGCGATAGATGCGTATTTGACGCTCTATTCGCGTTCGCTGTCATAAGACATTAAATTGCCTTTAAAGTGTATTTGTGTAAACTGGTCATTTTAAACTAAAATAGTAGATAAAAATAAATAAAAACTGGAAAAGGCCTTGCCTATTAAAGTGCAAATAAAAATAAACTGGAAATTAAACTTGTCTTAGTATTTCCACAATACTTCACCTCCATTTGGCAGGCTTTGCAAATTGCTTTGCTTTTGTCAAGCTCGTTCTCTGCATTGCTTGTTCTGAACCCGAAATGGTGCCAGATCGCAGCTTTGAGCGTTTCTGGAGTTTTCAAAGCAACCGCTTACTTAACGTTACTGACCGCCATGTTTGTTGTTTTAATGTCATTCCACCTCGCGCGCATGCGTGAATTCAATGACGCGGCAAGTTAAAGTTCACGGGGAAAATGTAGGCCTATTATTAAATCGATCCTCTGAGTTACGGATCGATCTTTAGAAATTAATATGAAAATCGATTCAGAATTGGTGAATCGATTTTTTCAACACAGCCCTACTGGATGCGGCACGACGCTACGCGACACAACAAATCCCAGACAGTAAACTGATGCCTTGTTCTATTTCTGACATACTCCAAGCACTTGTGCTACTTCTGATACTGAGGGCAAACAGATTTGCAATGGTCTGTCACGTCCAGTTTAGACAACTGTTGCGGTGCAACATGATAACGGTCATGTCTTGTTTAGACACTGTGTAACAGCAGTCAGTGATGCACTAATATTTGTGTGCAGCCCAACTTACCCATCATTAAAACACATTCTCTGACATTACATTCTCTGTGCAATCGTCCCACAGACCTCAAATTTTAGTGGTGATGTCAAAACCCATAACCATATTTATAAAAGTAATTGTGTGCACATCCCACCTTCTGGCAGGTGCAGGACAAAAGGAACTTACTAAAGTGAAAAAAAAATGTATGTCCGCAACACTGCTTTTTAAAAGCCCCCTTTTGAGATGTATAAGTTTGTTAATACCCGTATGTAAATGTTCTCTTAAATGAGTTATGTGTGGGGCTATTAGACTTTTTAGACCTAATCAAACTAATTGAAATCAAATGGTGGGTGAATTTTTTTCACTTTAGTAAAAACCCATAACCATGACATATTACTTAACAAAGAGTTAATAGTCATGGAAGTGGAAGTTGAATCAATCAAAAAACTTACTTTAGCTGGACAATAACTTTTTCCTAGAGCTGCTGTAAAACCAAAACAATCTCTGATCCATTAATTTCCTATTATCACTGTAAAGCTGCTTTGAAACAATCAGGGCCAGGTTCCCCGATAACGCTCACTCTTAGCGCGCTAAGAAGACTCGAAAGATACAGTATATCTTACCAAAGTTGTTTATGTTCCTAAGTGTGTTCCCCGAAGTGTCCCTTAGGAAGCTTCTTAACACGCTGCCTCTTACGTTCGACATTACAAAGGCGCTGTCCCAAGTGAAGGTGCTGAATTAGTTGGCATCGATTGCTCAGGAATCGATTTTCCACTTCATGCGAAAGTGCATTACGGCGTTAAGAAAGACAACACGTTCTATGCAAATGAAACATTCCTCAAATTATTCCAGTAACATTTATTTTAACAGTTTAATTTATCAGTAAAATATAGACTATTAATTAAATGATCAAATTGTCACTAATATGTTCACACAATATGTTGTGACGGGTAGACGAACCGGGTATCCCTCGCTAATCATCCACCCTCCTTATCCCATTATGCCACTTGTGCCGCTTCTTGACAGCAAAATTCCACCACGTTAGCCTGGCAAGCGCAGGTCTGAGAAGGTCCAGCAGCTCCATAATGAGTTGTCTTAGGAGGCGAAATTTTTTTAATATAGCCACGTCAGGCAAAATGTCAAAAGGGCTTAAGTTTTGCCGAATAAAAAAATTGACATGGACTAAACGGCTCCGCGACCGGCGCCGTCTTTGATTCAATACACCATATTAGTTCTGATACCAAATAAAGTCAACTTCATAAATAGGCCTGTATCCATTGCGAACATATTTTATTATTAGTCTTAAAATGTCCATAACATAAAATCATTGTTGAGCCACAACATTGTCAACATACCATAGTTTGACTTGTACTGCGCTGCGCTGGTCTCTAAAGACTGCTGCACAGTGGCGGCGACAGTGAGCTCAAACAACGCTAAGAGAGAGCTTACGAATGGTCCAGACCAACCTTACGAAAGTGTGACTTACAGAAGATATACTTAGCGTACGAACGTGTTGGGAATCGTGCCATAAAGTTAAGAGAGAGGTTAAGGAATAGGTTAATAACTACTTAGCGATAAGAACGTTTTGGGGAACCGGGCCCTGTATTGTTAAAAGCGCTATATAAATGAAGGTGACTTGACATGTGCCTCAACAAGTAAAGTCATAACATAATGATATCTTTGTAAATCATTAGCTAATGATTAATTAAAGGAACACTCCGACTTTTTGGGACTTTAGCTTATTCACCGTATCCCCCAAAGTTAGATAAGTCCATACATACCTTTTTCATCTCCGTGCCTGCTGTAACTCTATGTGATGCACCCACCGCTAGCCTAGCTTAGCACAAAGACTGGATGTAAATGGCTCCAGCTAGCATACTAATCCCAATAAGTGACAAAATAACGCAAACATTTTCCTATTTACATGTTGTGATTTGTATAGTCACAAAGTGTACAAATAACAAGATCATATGAGACACAGCCATCTTTTAACCGTATAAATATTGGGAACTATATTCTCAGAAGGCAAAGCACTGCTACTTGGGCGGAGTGATTACCGCAGCACCCAAGACGCACCATGGTGAGGAGCAGAGAGTTCGTTCAGAGTTGGAGTAATAGAGTCAGCAATTACTAGATAGAAAAGCATAGTTTATCATGGGTGTTCGTTGTATTGTAAAGAGCTGCGACAATAAACAGTGGAGACCAGGTAATGATGTTTCATAGAATTCCAACCAAAAACGCATCCTGATTAATAAATATCACAGAACATGAATAAAGAATTATTATTACAGGAATCGATATATTTTAAATGCAATTTATTACAGCTGAACCAAATGTAGGCTATTCAACAGCATATAATACAGTAATGTTAGATAATTGCATTACAATAGGCTAGAATAAGGGGAAAGTAATAGCACAAGGCAAATTGTTTTTGCACAATGAACCCACAGACAGTAGCCTACCCGTACTGGACAAGGTCACTGTTTCTCAAAAAAAAAAAAAAAAAAATTCCGATTCATTAGCAAGGTGAAGGCTACAGTCCTGAGTTTTTACCTCTAGCTCCGCTCATTTGTTACTGGGGCGATAGAGCGCGTTCGTGACAGAACAATACTAACATTAGAGCCTGCTCACATATCACGTCTTTTGCGCGCTCAAGTTCGTTATTTCAAATGTAGGCGCGCGGGGTGCGACGCGCTCGTTTTTCCCAGCTCGTCCGCGCCGCATCGAGATAAAAACATCTCAACTTTTCAGAATGCCGCAAG